TTCAGAGATTTGTCACCACAGGCAGAAGCCCTTCTAATTTTTGCATGGCCCTGGGTGGGCTGGAGGTTCTCCTAAGGTTCCCCTATCATCCTGACCCCATTGTCCGTGTGCCAGCTACACCTCCTACCAGTGGTCACCAAGGAAGATGGCTGAGAACCATGAAGCCCACTCTTTACCAATTTGGGACTGTTTAGCGTCTTCCATAGGAAGACAGTGGCTGGGCTGCAGCTTCTACAGAAGTACACATAGATTAATCTCTCACAACAAAGCCTCACTGGATTGCTCCTTGTTTGGCTCGGTTTAATATAAATGTTTATCAGGATGAAAGCAATTGGCCGCTCTTTATAGATTGCAGAAGGCGACAGTAATATCATTGGATTCTTCTTAGCTAAAGGGTAATTGGAATCAGAGAAGGAAAGGGGGAAGAGGGGACAAATAAAAGGGGAAGAAATGTGGCTTCTAGAGGGGCCAGGAAGACTGGTGAGAAATAAAGCTTCTCCCCATTTGGATGGATTCCTGCCATTATTCGAGCTGCTAGCTTTACAGCATGAAAGTCAAAAAAGCACCCAGTCCAGACACACAACATTAATCTGGTTGCCTAAATAGAGTAAAAAGGTGAATGAAGAGAAATGATTCCTCAAGAGAAGCACAAGACATATATGAGCTCCGAAAGAGCAATGACTTTTTGTACATTACTTTGGAGTCAAAAGCAAATTGTCAAGTTTCTTTTAGAAGGTCTATGTGCTAGCTTTTGTATAAATGCATCATCTTTTTCTCTCATCAGGGATCTCGTGGGAAGCATGACAGCAGTCTTTATTGCTTGTAAATGGCATACTGAAAAACATGGGACAGGTTCATTGCTGGTGGCATCGTAGTTGCATAGAAGTACCTCAGTGGATGAGTTTGGTCCTATGACCTTCTCAGTGCATTGGTGTTTTCAGCTGAATGTAAGCATATTTGAACATTTCAGTTTTGTGAGCAGGAGCTTGGCTGTTGACTGTTTTAGGAGAGATGCATAAGTCTTAGTGATGACAAAATACTCCATATTTCAAGATCAGTGAAACATTCTCAGTCAAAGAACTCCATCACGCTGAAAGAAGCTCCTTTTCTCTGTCCTCTCAGATGATACAATGGCATTTTTTTTGTGTGGCTTCAGCTGTCTTGAAGGTTTTTTCTTGAATGCAGTTCTTCTGTTGGGACCAATGCATAATGTGGTAGCTTCATTATTTCTCAGTCTAATTATTGCCCAATGATTTTTAGAGGCAGAGTTGTTGAGTGCTACAGTGTACGTTCAACAGAAAGGTTCACCATCACCTCTCTCAGTCTGTATAAACCCTCCTTCCCTTGACACTGTGAATCACTTACTGGAGCTCACATTTACCACTGCTCCAAGACTAACACTAACCTTCCAGGAGCTAATGGGAATCTAATTCTGTGTGTTTATGCTATCTGGGGCATTTCTCATATTCTCAGGAAATATGAGGAATCACCTTCTTGTGGGAGCTTTCCTTGATGCAAGTGAAATCCCAGCTGTGTTGTGGTCCTGTAGCCATGGAGCCTGGAGAAAGGTTGTATTTCAGGTCCTGGCTCTTTTGCTTTACGGGCAGATGCCATGAAACCTGCAGAGAAATTTTTCCCCGTCTGTCATTTTGAAGCACAGGGACATCTCCTGTGTTTCAGTAAACAGTTTTAGCTCTATATGGGCCATGTAGACAGAAGATTGCTTGTGTGAGGAGGGGCTGTGAAGCTCCCTGCTATGACAGCGCTACAGCAGTCCTCATGGTGGTACATGCTGGAGAAGACCTTCCAGTGCATGATTGGGAGGATATTTTTGTTCTAGTAAAGAAACCTTAACACCTGTAATTGTTATATGAGAACTTTTTCTAAGATTGGCCACCAAAAAAGAAGTATTCTGGAAGACCTAAATAGAAAAGCAGTGACAGACACCCTGAGTCAAGAAAAATATGGTAACATGACATTTGTCAACAAAACATTAACAAGTTTACAGGATAGTGTTGTTAGTTATCCAGTGACAGGTGGGCAGGACTGTCCATCTTGAACAAATGGTAATGAGCAACTGTTTAGGAAACATTTAAGGAGCACAGGTCTGCTTTTCAGGTGAAAAACCAGGATTATGAAAGGCCCCATGGAGAGTCATCCTCCATCACAGGAGGAGCAGTGGGTGCACATCACACATGGAGGACCACCACTCAGAGACATGGGACATGCAATGAGTGACCAGACTGTCTAATTAGCTAATTTCTAAATAATGTAATTTTTTTGTTGTTGTTTTTAATTGTTCCAGCTTTCAGGCTCATGGAGAGAAGGTTGGAAACCTGAATTATTGCTCAAATCTCCTGCTTTTTACGGCCATCCCTAAGTAAACCTCTGGGACACCTGCAGAAAAGAGGAAAATCCTGGCTAAAGCACCTTCTTAAGAATCATTTTAAACAATGAAAATATCTTACTGCTACCCAACCTAGTTAAAAAACCAAAACCTAATGAAGTCCTGCAGCTCCTACTGACAGCAGCTCTATAACTTTGTCACTGATATGAACCTTAGGACAATGCTCTCCGCTGATGGCACTCCATAAATAATATTTCTACTCATTACTAAAACCTGAAAAAACTCCAAGGAGAGAAATGTCATGTGCCTGAATATAACGATATTACCCATCTGAAAGCTAATGCTCCTATTTTTTTCCTCATACTGCACAGTATATTGAAAAGACCCAGTATATGCTGTAAGTGAGGATACCTATAATTTTTTTTCTCCAGGAATCTTCGCACTTTCCAGACTTACTGAATGCCATAGAGGGAAGGAACAAGTTTAAAAAACAATTAGTAGGACATGTGGTGCTCATTCTTGGCTGAAACTGCACATTCTCATCTGCCTGAAAATACTCAGCAGTCGTTTATGAAAAATGTTTTTGAACTAATGAGCTATATTTGCATTCCCCTTAGAATGGATTCAGAATTTTTCATCTACACTGCACCATGAAAAATGGATGTGTTTTTCACAGAGGTAATTTGAACATAAACCACCGCATCAATGGGAAGACAACCTTTGCAGAAACTTTTTAACTTAGCACATTCCATTTGTTTTCGCTGGGGAAGGTCAAACTTACGTGAGAGATGTAAATTTCATGCACAAACCTAGATGCTGATGAGATTTGTTTTTGTAGATAATCTGCAGCAGAGAAATTTTTCATAATGTCACCGCAAAATAAATTAAAATGTTCATCTTCATATGGCTGGTTCCATTGCATTAAAATAAATGTTGCAAGCTCATTTAATTAGTATAGTTAGGAATGTCTCTTCCCTGCTTCACTGACTCTCCAAATCACAAGTTAATTTGTCAAAATCAGACCATTGTTTTTCCTTCATTCTTCATTACTGAAAAGACAGCCCCATTTAAATAAATGTTTATGCTACAGAGAGCAGAGCAGTGAACAACCCCAAATATTTTTCTAAGCCCATGTTGGAAAAGTTTTGAGTGCAAAGACCTAGAGCGCTTTTGTGTGCGTGCGTGCATGTGTGTGTGTGTGTGTGCTGTTATTGGATATTTGACTAGCTGGAAAGGTACAAAATTGAGCAGTCTGCTGTAACTGATGATGTAGTGCACACCATCTCTCATGCCAGCGGCTACATGCACTTGGAAGCAGTTTTCTTCTATGTTTTCAAAGACAAATGATGACAAAAGATACAATCTCTATAAATTACCCTAATCAAATCATTCTCTTCAAGAACTCTTGGTTAATCAATTAGTCAGTGTTCACGGTTCTTATGAATATCACTTCAGAGCCTCCCATAGCATTGTTCTCTTCCAACGGCAAATATTTAGAGCATTTTATTAAAGAAAAAAAACCAACCAAAAATCCCAACAAATGAACACAACAGCACATATAGCAAATAGGCAGAGAACTTCTGCAACCATATGGAGTCCATTAACATAAAGCAACTCTTTGGATTTACAGATATCACTGAGGTAGCAGTTACTTGCATTTTGTTTGTTTGATTGGCTTAGTTATTATTTATACCAGGTCTTTTCGGAGGGCACCTATCAAGAATGAATGGAAAAGACAATTAAATCATCATCTGAGCCCCATACTAATGGGTTTTTACACTGTATGTTATATGTTGCAGTGCTATTCTTTAGCCTTCTCCAAGAACCTTTCCACCTGCACAGGAAAAGCTTTTACATCTCAGCTCTGTCTTCCTTCTAACTGAGAGGACTCAAACCAAAGCATTTAGTAGATTCCTGTGATTTTTCTTATCAGGAGGTTTTGGGGTTGGGTGGGATTGATTTTGGGTGTTTTTTACTGTTTATCTGTCTTCCCCTTATTTCTTTGTGTGAGGGCAAATGAAGACGTGAAAGAGCATTCACCCCACTAGGTTCCACAGCATGGCAGTATTTTAAAATGTCATTCAAAACCTGTATCTGATGTGAATCTTATGATATTGGGAGGGAGAACCACCCTATTTTCTTTTTCAAGAGCTTCAAGATGAACTTTGTTTCATTAATAAATCATGTAATTAAGAGGGAAATTTAATTGCAGTGATACTTCATGAATTCACAGTAAAAGCATGCTATATATTAATGGCTGGCATACTGACTTCCAGACATAGGAACTCTTTTGAACTGTGGAAAATCGGCATGTGCAGCTGTTAGGAAAATCCCTCCAAGATCACCAGAGTAGCTGAAGGGAGAGCGATACATTGAAAGGACTTGTTCAAAGCAAGCCAGAGGCTGGATACTTCTTTTAAGGGACCTTGGTGATGCCGTTTTCTGACATGAACTCTGCTTCACCTTCCTATTTGCATTTGTAGTGGACATAAGCATCCCAGAATAGGAAGAGCAGCTGTCATTAGGCAGTTTTGGATAGTGCTGGTATCCAAAATCTCTTGTGCTTTTCTACCCACACTGAAGTTACAGGTGGTGGTTGTTCAACAGAAAGAGAATGGGAAGCGCCTTCAACCAGGCAAATTAATCTGCTTACCTCTCCTTCCATGGGAAAGGAACATCCTCTGTTATAACCGAGAGCTTGTTTTTGCTTCAGTGAATCAGATTGCTTCAGAAACTCCAAGACGACCTTTCTGAAGAGCAAAAATGTTTCATGAACCTTCTTTGCTGCCAGTGCCTCCAGGACTCAGCTATGCAAACAGATGCTGTATCACCATCCACGGACAGTGTGTAAGAGACACAGTGGTCTCCTAAACAGATTTGGGCAATAAAAAATGACAGGAGGGAACGCAGAGTAAAACCCTGTATTACAGAGCCTATATATGGTGACAGCTCTCTTCTCCCTGTTATAAAAGTTCTTAAAACAATCTAATAATAATTTATGATTTTCATAAATGTTAGTCTGTAAAATTATACCCTCCTCACTGCATTGCAGGGACCTTATACCTGATTGCGGATCAGAAAGGGGCAAGAAGGCTTTTTTTTCCAGGATTTTTAAGGTTTTGCCGAGGCACCAGCCATATTCTTCCTTCAGATAAAGGCGCCCATGTGTAAAGGTCTGATGGTAACAGTTCTGGTGACTGAATTTCTCTGTCTCTCCTTTTTGCATCTGGAGCTCATGGTCTTTGAATATTTTCAAAGTGGAGAAATATACACCAGAACGGTGTGTAGTTCACTGGCATTCATGAAAAAAATGCCTCATGAGAACATTTGCAGAGCAATTCACACAAGCAGGACTGTGAAGAGGTGTGAAAAGACTACAGGTTAGGTCATACTAATATTTATACTATGTATTTACTATTTATATCAGTCTCTATCTGCATATATTAACAGAGAGACTGCAAAATTCTCTGAGCCCAGCTCTTCGCTATTGTGTATCATGCCAAAAGCTGCTCTCTTCTGCCTATTTACCTGTAGGCAGAATCAGAAGACAATGCCACTATATTCCTTTTTATTTACTACGTGGGAACCATCTCTTTTTATTTGTGGGAAGAAGTGCTTGCTACAAAACTCTGCCTTGGAAAGAAAGACAAGGCTGTACATAAGCATCTGAGTAAACTGCTTCACCAAGAAAACCTGAGTTAAGCTGCCGGTAATAAATACATTTATTGGGTAGACAGTAAAAAGTACTGAAGAGTTTAAAATAAATTCTGAGTTATTTAAACTTAATTTACGACCAGGAAAATAAACCCTCTCTTCTACTATTAATGTTTTTTATCTGGGCCATCAAATGTCACACCCTACTGATTTTGGATGTAAGGTCACTGGAAACAACATATCAGCGGTGTCAGCAATACAAATCAACTGAAATTCCCCTAAAAATAAAAATGTCAGGAGTAAAATAATAGGCAATAGTTATTTCATGGTATGAAAGACTTGTAATATATCAAGAGTTCACCTTTTTCTATCTTTATCATATATCACTTTGAACATTAAGTATACCTCCATTTCATATATTTTAAATATAGATAATGTATCTAGCTAAAACAATAATCTCAGAGAAAAGTGCACTGAAATGATTGTTTGGGTTTGCATTCACTTTTTGAAATGTCTTCTAATTTATATCAAATGACGAAGCAATAGCCCTGTCTATAAAAGGCAGTGCGGTGCACCAGCTGATGCTTTCTAAGAACACATTTCTGTGCTAATGGAATGTGGGAATATGAAATTGATCTGGACTAATTATTTTAGCAAGAAGAAAAAGAAGGGGTGACCCTTCACTCCGACTGACCCTTCACGTGGCCCATGAAGACCAGACCCAACATAAACCAGGCACTGCAGGAAGCAGTAACAAATGCCACTGGGAAGGCAACAGGCAGCACGTATTTGTGAAAATGCCTCCTTTGAAGTTTCTGCGTAGGTGAACACATCTGTGTCTGTTAAATTGTCTTTAGTACAAATGGGGATTTCCTCGGGCCATTTGTGACTGTTATTAAATGGCTACCAGAAAACAGGTTACTAATTTGGCTTGCACCACCGTGCTGAATTATAACTGAACACGCTAAATGTCACACCGCGCTGCATGTGGCACTCACACAAAGAGAAACAGGTGGCTATAAACCCATGTTGTACGGCCATAGCGACGTGAACCTGCACACTCAGTCCAGACATGGATGGGTTTGTGACTGAGTAAGAGCCTTTGGACCTTTTGTGTCTATGTATAATGAGGAAAAGGATGGGAATGGACTCCAGCTCAGCACTGTCACATCACTTATGTCTAACGAATCTGGCCCTGGATCTGTGGAGCTTCCCAGCCTGGAAACCTCTCAGGGTCCCTTGACACTCTTTTAGGGTTCAAGCCCTTGGTCCTGTGCTCCATATGAAAGCAGGAGCCAGGACCCTGGTTGCCTGTCCCAAAACTTTGTCTTTGGGTGCTCACCAGTGCTGTCCACCAAGCAGGTGAATCACCCTCCTCCTCGGAGTGGGGCTATAAGGTGACTCATCCACCTTTTCCCTACGTTTTGAATCCTGTGACTCTGTCTCTTTCCCTACCTTTCTGCCACGTTTTTTGTCTGAGCCGCGTGTGTCTCTTCCATTTCACCTTGCCTTCAGAAAGGAGAAGGAAGTGCCTACACTGCCACACCATAAATGCAGAAGTTCCTGAGCAGCCATTTTCCTATTCCTTCCAGCACTTTTTCCTTTGTATTGATTCAGCAGTTTTCTTAGGTAAAAGAACTTGGGTTTCATGGCAATGATATAATCTAGCTTGGACGGGTAAAGTGTATTCCCCAAAAGAGAGATTTTGGAAACCCTGTTAATTTTTTTTATCACTTAGGCCACAGAGGAATCAAGATACTGACTTTGATGAACTATGCATATCATCCTGTTCATTCCCTGTAGTACTACCAAAATATTGTCCTCAGCACAGAAAAGGTGAAATATATCTGATGAACACAGTTTCATTATGTCAGGAACTCTCTGCTATTCCGCATTATGATGGACTTCTCCATTTCTGACTCAGAATCTGATTCTGCCTCTCTCCAGCATTAACCTGCTGTGATCTCATCAGGAAAGCTGATCCATGAAGCTAAGGTTATAGAGAATGTTACTTAACCTAATAACCGGTCTGACAAGTTTTTAAATGTCTTTTAATATTTTCTCTCCAGTTGTGTTCTCATTCACACTGTGCTGATAGCAGCTGAGTAGCAGCAGCCGTGGAGGTAGGCACAAAACCTGTATTTTCCTTCCCCATGGTATATAAGGATATTTAAACTTCAGAGGAATCTGTGAGACAGTCTTGTTTACTCTGCTTGACCTGCAAGCATACCCTTTCTCTATTTATGGCACAAAATGTACCCATGCTGGGGGAAGAAATCCTTTATTTATCTGCAGTAGGTTCAAGAGCACTACAGATAGACAAGGTCCATACTGTTTCACAAATACGTACCAGCCTTGACCTGCAGAAACCAATCATGGGCTTATTGTGTTGTTTGTATGATACAAAACCAGTGCCTCTTCCCTGTAGAAAGTAAACTGAGATGACTAAACTGACTTCACTTGGTAATTCTCTCAGCAATCTGATCAAAATGATTAATGGTCATTCTGGTCAACACTGGATTTAATTCAAGGTCACAGAAAAAAAAAAAGATAAAAGGTCACTTTGCTGACCAACCTCTATATATCTACGTATTTTTGTTATTAAAGGAATTAATCTGATAGTGCCTCCATTCACAACACATTAATTATTTATACATTTGATACAAAATTACTTCATACAAAGATTGAGATTGAGCCTTAAATTGCCAGTATGGGAGACAGAGATTTAGACCCATGATGAGCCTCATTTAGGTCGACACAGCTGAATTCCAGTTTAAATGCGTAATGAGTCCGGTATTACACACAGCCAGACTGACTTACACCAAATGTCACATATCCTGGGGAAACTAAACTCCAAAAATAAATCTTGCCCTGAGAAAAATCTTAAGTTTTGTGACACATTTATTGGAGTGCCTGTTTTCAGGAAGACTTAGCTCACTGTCCTTCATTTTGAGATTCGAAGTGACAGATATTTAAAACAAATAATGATACAGCAATATTATTCAGTCTCCGGAAGTTTGGGGGGAACATTCTCAGCCTTAAGGCACTGAATTTCAGTCAGAAGTAATTTCTAATGTTGCTTCATCCTATTACTTGTAAATTCAATGTAATTAGAGGCATATTCAGTTCATTACCAATTTGAACTCTTGCCCAGTTTTTTTCAGTCTGTTGCTTTTTCAAAACACTTTATTAAAAACTTGTTTTGCTGTCATATGTTTTAAAAGGAAATAATATCTCACAACTAATCATTTATTAAGATAATGCAACCACACAATGCAGAAAAACAACGTAACCTCGCTAGAAACAGATGGAGAGTGAGAAATAAACCTTTGCTTGGTTGCACATGAGTATTTTGAACTTACATTTGAAATATATATTAGCTGTGTTTTCATCCCAGGAGTGAAAAATACAACATTAGACTGAAAAACAATTATTTCCCTTGCTTTTGGGCATACAGTACATTATTACCTAGGCTCACTTATTGTTTCAAATAATGCCTTCTGAATTTTCATGTGTTTTTCACTTCCTATAAATGCCTATAATGAAAGACGGGAAACCTGAGAAAAATGTGGAAGCTATTTCACTCTATTTCTGTTATTTTATTATTTTCTTTCTGCTGCCTCATTAGGCCAATTGTTAAACATCACATATCAGAGAGCAAAGATTTCCATTTTTAGTGATGGATGATGGACTAAAGTGATCTTTTAAAACTACGGACAGTGCCTGCCCAATGCAACACCCTTTGATGTTGATGAGAGGTTTTCCATGGATTAGAGATAAAAGAAATGTCTATATATTAGTCACAGGATCCCGCAAAGCTCATGTTAGGAATCACACATGCCAAACCTAAGATTATCACTGAATACTGGGTAACCACGTTGTCTGGTCTCAGGCAAGCGCTAACTGTGGTCCTATTGCCTTCCTCCTTGCTGAAAGATGAGCAGGGATTGCCAGTAATCCCCCAACAGGAATGTTTAAAAAAAAAGTACATCCCGACTCATGTTTAGAGCTCCTAAGGGAGGAGTTTGAAACGTAAAGAGAGCCCTGCAAGGAGTTTGGGTGAGGGCAGAGTGATCCCCAGAAGTGATAGCTGGACATGGGATGCAAGTTTTGTGTGGGAACAAGACTGTTCCTACTCAAGTCCTGTTGGACTTGTGCAAGCATCATGACGACTTTCTAACTGGATACCCAAGGAGAGAAAAACCTCTGAGAGCTGCCCTGTAGTATAGGTACACAGTTTTAATACCACAGCAGCACTTTAAAAAGATGGGCCCAGGACCACCCCTGGAGGCCTCTATTTCCCAATACTTCTCTCAGCAGTGTCTATCAGGGGACCAGCCCTGCTCATGGTTAGCGCAGGTTAGTGAGAGAAAAAACAAGTCTTCCAGGAAGCAGCATTAGGGGGAAAGTGTCTGAAGTGCAGTAAAGCACCAGGGAGAGCGTCTGAAATCAACAGTCTCCCAGACAGTATTTTTAACAGTATTAAATGCCTTTTTAGTTATTATTTATTCATTTTGTTCTTACAGGCAACATCCCTCAAGAATAAGTACACACCTATCTATACGTATATGTGAGGTTTTATCCTTCTTGTTTTTCATGTGCTTTGTCCTCTGCTTCATTTTGGTTTTCTTCCCCTCTCTTTTGTTTTACTCTTGTTGTTGCTTTAATTTTCTTCCCCTGCATTTTTTATTCTCATTTAACTTGTCTTCTACTTCTGGCTTCATTTCTGTCCCTGCTTCTTCTCATTAAAATGTCCAGCAATTGAATATTTAACGTTGACAGACAGATAGACATAACCACCACAGGGCTTTTAAGTTAATGTCCTGTTATTATTGAATGTCTGAGGGAAACTGAACCCCAAAGAGCTAATAATTAGGACTACTTGCAGATTCAGGAAAACAATATTAAATTGGTTGCACTTCTTTCAAAGCACGTTGCAGCCATGAAGGCCAGAAATGTAATGTTTTATTTGTTAAAAAAAAAACCCAACACATTCTTTAAATTAAGAGTATGTTGTTTAGGGCAGATAAACATGTAGAACAGATAAATGTTCAGCCTGCACTGAAACCAGGCTGGTGCCATCCTCCTGTTGAAATAGGAATGGCAAAATTCTGTAACAAAGGGCTAAAAACACAAAGCCTGAAGTGGCCCCGTGTTTACCAATACATGGGATATTCCCATAAGAGGGGATGTTGAGGTCTCTCTGCATCTGAGGCCTGGATGGCATATGACAGAGGTATGAACATGAAGATGCATGCCCTCGACCTGCTCTGATCATACATTTTGGACAAACAGTAACATCCAGAGGACTCACACTTATGTAGCAGTGCTGAGGCTGCAGGGTTTTCATGTGTCCTTATCTGCCCAAAGCTCACTGATTTTTGGGTACAGTTTTTGCTGCTTAATCTTCTATAGGCACATAAATATCCCAGCAGATATTTAAATGACTGTCAGTCTAAAATGGGGATCTCAAATAAGTTCTTAGCAGCCGCCAGCACCGTATGCTTGCCTGGAAGGGGAACCAGTGTTTGGAGAATCTAGGGGTTCATAGACCCAGATTATTTCCAGATTATTGACCAGATATTTCACCTGGCCTCTACAACTTCTGAAAAAGCCCTTCATGCAGCAGTGAAACAGTGAACCAGAGGTGGGAATCTGGAGCTCTTGTTGCCCTTGGCATGTCTCTCCCACCCACGGAGAACCACAGTCTGCAGGTCAATCAACCCGGCACTTTGCACAGACATGGACATGTCCCTGAGAGAGGGCTAAAGGGGTTGACAGGACAGTGCTAAAGGCATTTCTGCAGGAGTAGTTACTACTTGGATCTTTTGGAAACCACAATGTACAGACACATCAATCACAGACTAACCAGGGCTGGCAGTAGATACATTCACACCTCATGAATGGAAGTGAATTGTCTTTTTGTTTGGTAATTCAGTTGTTTAGTCCCAAGATCAGTTTGCCAGTTTGAATCAGAGCAGATTTCTGTAACTCAGCACTGCACGTCACAGCTCGAGTGAAACTAATGCTCCAGTCTTCTTTGAACTTCTGAGTGTTTTGACCTTCAGAACTTGTACCATGAATTTTTCAATTAACTAGCTCATAATTAAATCAACTGATTAAATAAAGAAGTTTTAGTTGATAAAGTACCGTTATGCATTCAGATGGCACAGGAGTTTTAATGATATGTAGATTGTCCCTAAGATCAGCTCAGAAATGGATTCCATCCTCCTACACAGCTTCACGAGTGCCTCCCTGTCCCATAGCCCCCTCACTGTCCAGGCAGCCCACCTAAATGAGGCACCGTGGCCCTGGAGACAAGGTTACAAGACATTTTGTCTCTGTCCTTGGCTCCACTGGCACTGGCAGGGTGTACTGCTGTTTTGTGCCTCCGTTTTGAACTCCAAAATGAAGCTGTGATGCCAACTCTGCTACAGGGTGCTCCGAGAGGAGCATGATCTTACTCACCCTTGAGACTCAGTTTCACCAGATAAAGGGATATTCAAGCAGCGGCTCTGGAGTTAGGAAGGAGGAGTTGTTCTTTTTCAGGGGAGGGCATGTGTGGGAAAAGCTGGAAAAAAACAGGAGACAAAGTCAAAAACTGACATTACTCAAGCAAGTATTGGGATATGTGGCATCAACAAAAGTAGAGGTATTTTGCCTGAAAGCTGGCTGAAGAAAGATTGCAGTTGAGAATGAGTCACAGAATCATAGAATCACAAAATCATTTAGGTTGGAAAAGACATTAAGACCATCGAGTCCAACCATAAACCTAACACTGCTGAGTCCACCACGAAACCATGTCCATAAGTGCCACACCTACATGTCTTCTAAATGCCTCCAGGGATGGTGACTCAACCATACCTCTGGACAGCTTGGTAACTCTTCCAATGAAGAAATTTTTCCTAATATCCAATCTAAACTTTCCCTGGGGCAACTTGAGGCTGTTTCCTCTCGCCCTATCACCTGTTGGGAAAAGAGATGGGAAAAGAGACCAACTTTCCCATCACTATAACCTCCTTTCAAGCACTTGTGGAGAGCAGTAAGGTCTCCCTTTTCTCTGGACTAAACAACCCCAGTTCCCTTGGCCTCTCCTCATAAGGCTTGTTCTCTAGACTACTCACCAGCTTTATTGCCCTTCTCTGGACACGCTCCAGCACCTCAATGTTGGCTTTTGAGCAAGGGATGCTGATTTCTGTGTAAGTCATTGGCTTGCCTGAAATATTACAGCAACCTCCAGGGTTCTCAGTCTTGTTTCTCCAACTGGGCCCAGACACCAAGAGACATGTGACTACCATGTGACTATTGCAGGTATCTCAAGCCCAGGCCACTCCTGTCCTTGCTTGAGCAAAAGAGCCTTCTGTTGTATATGAACTTCAACTGCCTTTGGATCATTATCAGACTCTACCAGCAAAAGTTGCTTGACTTAGAGGTGTCATTTGGCACATCCTTTCCCATCCCTTAAAGGGGAGCACCATGACAAAACACAACGACAAAAAACATATTTCTCAGAGGATAGAAACAAGGCACCCAGGATTTTTCTAAAAGCTCTTTAGGCCAGTTCCTCAAGGCAAATCTTTCTTCCAAATGTAGGACTCGATATGCCACATGAAGCCATACCTACTGCTCAGAGTCTAAATTTAGACTCTCTTCAGAACTGAAACTATACCAGAGGAAAAATGCTTAACAATGGTCTTTATTTAATTTGACATAACCCTCTTCAAATACTTGCCTTGCAAAATCCTTTTGTGTTCTTTTAAGTAGGACAGTTTCTTTCCTTTGTGTAATTCAAGTGGGGCATAAAGTGGGAGCTATCCACTTAAAAATACACACATCCACAAGTAGAAAAATAAGAGAAAACAAGTCTCAAACAATCAAAGTCCTTAACATTGCAAGTAGGGAGAAAGAGGGAAAAGAGAAGGAGGAAGAAAAAATACTACAAAGGAAAGAGAAAAGGAAAGAAATAAGTTGTACAACATTATGCTGATTCTTTTCAGGCTAGGATGCATGTAATATTTATCACATTGTCAATATTTTGACACTGTCACTTAAATATCTTGCTATTGAAATAACCTGAAAAGTGGTAATGTCACAGTGAAAATAATAATAATTATTATTATATGGCACAGATCCATTCCCTTACGTGCTTGTCTTCCGTCAGTATTTCTTCTGTGTTTTGTTTCACTTGCATGAAAACACATGAATGGCAGCAGGATTCACTGCTGCTGCTCCTACCCAAAGTCATAATTGCATATTTTGGATGTGAGACCTAATTCCGGTGTGATAGACTGTGGTGATGCAGGTAACAGATAACAGGATCAGAGGAATCAAAACCAAGCTTCTTAGAATCAAGCAAATGTGTTTAATAACAGCGAGTAACCCAAATCCATAAAATAATTCATACCCTGAAACGGCACTAAGTGGAACGTTTTTAAAAACATTTTCAAGATGTATTACTAGATTTTTAATTCCTGAACTGTGCATATAGCACATTTGTTTGATTTAGTGTCTAAAATAAACTTTTACTACTTTTTATTCCTGCTAACACTGAAACAATTAACACAGCGAAGGGAGAGTGTATGAGACTCCCATCCCCCCCCCAGCCCACTCATCAACAGAGCTCTTAAGTGTGCTCCCATCTGTGTAGCCCACCTTTGCTCTTAGCTTCACATCTGCAGTCCCACTGGTAGATGTCTTCTGGTGGCTGGAGAGTGGATGCAGTTTTGGTCTATGTTAGGAGGAAAGGAAAGCAAATATGATTTTCCAACACTCAAGCAGCTACATATTGTGATACTGAGATGTAGATGGATCTCAGAAGGGTATTTAGACAAGTGATGGAGACAAGAGATCAAACTCTAGACAAAGAGGTCAAACTCTAGACAACTTCCGAGCAAGACACTCAGAGGGTAGATTATTAGATGATGGTGTATGTGGAAGATGTGACTGTGGAAGAAGAAACAGAGAAAAAAATCAGCTAACGGAGAATCAAAAAGAAACATAGGTTTGCTTCTCTGGAAAAAAGGAACAGTGTGAACAGAAAAATGATGAAAGCACGAGAAAGACATCCAACTCCAACAGAAAAGAAAAAGATGCAGCAGTCAAAGAAAGAACAACTGGGAAGACTGCTGTCCAAATCAGATTTAGACAAGAGAATGGGTACTGGTAGCTAGGAGCAAGGATGTGCTGTGGGGCTGGAAAAGCTCCTGATGGGAAAGGAAGAAAATCCACCAGCTGTCCTTCATGGCAGGTCAGATGACACTGCCATAGTCACGTTGGAGGTGATCAGGAGTGGCTGCCAGGTGAAAACACAGGAATGAATAAAGTTACAGGTGCCCTTCAGTAGGCAAAGAGGAAAAGGCTCATGGGCCTGAAAAAGGTTCTGGGATGTGTGACCCCCAAAAAAGGTGTTCAAAGGGTGAGGACTCCATGTGAATAACTCCTAGGATTGCAGTCACATGACTGATAAGAACTTTAAACTAGAATCAGAGGGGAGAGCGTTGGGAGACTCACTTAATCTCCATGCCTGATTTTAACGCAAGGAAAAAAAGGAAAACCAGATAAATGAGATTATTGCAATGGGTAATAGGACACGGAAGGGGGGAGAAATAGGCAGCAAGAGAATATGGGAGTAATATTGAAGAGAGGAATAAATGTTTGTGCGATACATTTAATGAAATTTGCTATTTAAAACTGGATTAAAACAGAGAAAATCAAGAGAAATGCTGTGCATTAAGACCAGATACATATAGGAAGTAGAATCTCTGGTGCAGAACAAAAGAAAAAGATATTACAAGAACAATAGAAACAAGTTGGAATAGCAATCTTGCCTCAAACACAGGCATTGAAAAATACACGTTATTTAAAAAAGAAGAAAAGGTAAAAGGCGGTGAGGTAGCAATTCTCATTAACTGATGAAGTAGACTGAAAAGAAATAAGAATTGATTGCTTCAGTAAAACCCAGAAACAGGCTAAGTCAAAAATCACTTTTGGAAAGCCTGAAAAAGAGCATCTATGGGAATTAAAATAGAGTCTGCCACTCACTCTGATGGCTGGATTTTGTTATGGTTGGAGATCACCATCTTATTAGAAGAAATAAAGGGAACACATCATTAGAAGAGTTTCAAATTCACCATGCAGTAAGCAGTGCTTCCAAATACAGAAGGACAAACTATCTTTGCAGGAAAGGGCCAAGTTTTTACAGCAAGTAGTCCCAGGCTCTAGGGTAATATTAGATACAGTTCTGGTTAGTATCAAAAAGCTTCAGGGTAATAGCTTGTAGCATAGAAGTTTGGTCTAAATGACCATGAGTTAATTCAATTTTAAATAAGAAGAAAAACAAGCCTAGACCCATGACCTGTGTGTGAGTTTGAACTTGAAATGTCCAGCAAGCCAGAAAATATTATGACCTCTAGGATCTGAATGTAGAAGGGACTTGGTGCAAAAATTCCTATGAATTTACATCCCCATCCCACCCTTCCTAAACACAAGAAAGGGGGGAAATAATTATGGAGTAGGACAAACACCCCTCACAAAAAGGGATCGGGAAAGAGCTGACACAGACCAAAAAAAAAGAGATGATCAGCAAAGAAAATCTTATTTACGGTCAAGAAGAACAAGACTGAACTACAACTGGGTGAGGCTTGGGCTGTGGGAGATCCTGCCAAAGAAACTCATAGCAAGAGTGCATCAAAATAAGTAAACATATGGACAAACAAACACAAATATTGCCGTTGGGGCATTTTTCACTGGCCCTCTGTTCCAGCTATTCCAGAGAAATTCAACTGTTAACCAGGATCTGCTCAGCAAAAAGCAGCATATCCACTCCCAAGACATACTGGAGCTGGTTTATACTGGAAAAATCTGTGCACTCTATGAACCTACCCTGTCCCATATCATTGCAAATGAGTTAAGCAAATCTATTTCACTTTCCATGGCACTGGATGTGAGGAAATCTGGACAGCTTAGTTCCATGTCACCAGATATATCAATAGCACCATAAATGCCATACGCCATGAATTTCAGCAGTTACAGGCAAAGCCTTCTGATCACGGTGACTGGACTAAGGTAAGGGCTGTTTTTACTCCATCAGGTGCTCCTGGGAACACCGCAGCCATGGCAAAATGCAAGAATCAAAATGGGATGCCTGGCTAATGGGAAGCCTGGCTGTAGGCAGAGGAGTCCAATCTAACCACAGTTCCTGTCACTACAGGGTACCTGGCCTGGCCAGTAAACATCCCAGGTGACCTGTAAAGCCCAAGGCAATTTTCCATGATAATCCTACTGAGGGTCTGGGGTTGGTGAAGGCACTACAGAACCCCAGACCCAGCAAGCACAGTGGGCAGGTATTGCCCAGCCAGCATCCCAGGACCTGGGATCAGGGTAGCCCTGTGACCACACTAGAAAGCAAATGATGTGGGCAGCAGTGACCTCCACCATTCATGCAAGGCCTAGGGACCCTTTACAGTTCCTTACCAGTCCTTTGATCATTCCAGGGCTACCTCCCAGTGTCACTGGGGTTTTCCCAGCCAGCCGTTCCTCCTGCCACTGCTAATCATCCATTGGAAATGGCTGCCCGGTCTGTCGTTTCAATGCCCTACAGCATGGGACAAAAATTCCCAATAACTTCTCCCTGGAGCATCCAGAATTCATTTTTTAGGGTTACAGAAACTTTTAGAAACAGTGGAGCTCACACAGGGCATACACCTCCACCTCCATGTGAAAATAACGTGTGTGGCTCTGCTCCTTCGGGCGACTTCTTCTTCGTGCATCAGGTAAATGATGAATTACCCTGTCAGTCAGAGTGCTCCCTTTCAGGGAGATAAAAAGCATGTGCCTGAATAGAAGCCACTTGGTTTTAGCTGCCACACAGCCTCATGGATGGAGGTGACAGGTTGCTTCTGTGGCACCCAGTCCTGGGAGCTGCCCCTTAGATTCAGCATGAGATTCTATGAAGTGCTCCAAAACGGTGGCCAGAGCTGAAATTTGGGCTTTTGGGCATCACCTCACTACACAGAGCACAGTAAAGGCTGCAGGGAAGGATGCCATGGAGTTGGTTTTGCATCTAAACCAGGAGGCTGGCACACAGAGTCCCCAATCCTCACATAGGTCAAGGCAGGGCTCTGCTTTTTGTGCATGGGAGATCCACCTGGGCTGGGAGCTGAGTCAGCAAAAAAGCTACCACCAAGCCAGGGCAGATCTCCCTGAAAATTATATATATATTACTTACCAAAGGAAAAAAAATGTGGTTCTTGATGGGCAGTCAGTCCCTGCTCTTCACTGGATTTACCTCCATCCTCATGGCATTGCCTTGCTATCCCCATAAATACTTTCTCCAAGAGTAATGAAAGAAACTGCTACAGAGCTCTGCAGGCTCTAACCTAGTTAAATGCATTGTGGGGGAGAGGATCTTTGCTGTTTATGGGGCTTTTCTGATGAGGGATGATCCAGAGAGATTTTAACCTTCTCACCATCACGATATGATTGCCATGAGGGTAGTGGGCATTGTACAACCAGGTTGGTCCACTGCCAAGCAGTCTGAAATTTACTTACAGCACGTGGGTGCCTATACCAAACAGTGTGGAGCATAAAGAAAACCTGCACAAGTCCTACTTTATTTTTTACTGTACTGCCTAATAGATGCTCTGTCAAGTTATACATTTCTTGCTGTGACAAATTATTCTTCTTCTCCTGACAGGACCTCCAGCTGAGTCCGCTGTGCTCAATTAGGAGAAAATGCATATTTTAATCCACCCCATGGTGTAGTAACATTTCACTCTGTGGCCTTGGCAAAGGAGCCATTTAACTATTTCTGCAGTGGTTTCACATGCAGCACATTATTCTAATGTCAGCAGCATTTCCGTCTCTTCTAGTTTCCCTGGCAGTCCTCCCCTAGGCATTGGGATGTGGACAATTAAAGCCCACTTTATCATTTTGGAACCAACGATTTCCTTCCCCTGATACATTTCATCACTACACACCAGCTGCTCTTACCGTCGCAACCACCTCTGCTTCTCCACGCCACTGCCGTCTCCTGGTACAACGTTGGGACCACTCTCCACTGGAGGACTGGCAAAAGGTGATCCTCTACTCCTCCTAAAATGATGCATCAGGTCTCTGCCCTCTTCAGTAGCCACGACCAGCTCCAGATCTCCTTCCATCTTCAGCAATGAACGGAGATCACCTCAAAACCACAGAGCCTGTTTCATGGAAAAAGGCCACCTCTTTCCAATAAATTATCAGGACTTCTGTGAAATGTCTTCTAATGCTGTAGTAGCACTTGAAAACTACCCAGGCGTGACTCAGCAGTCATGGAGAGTTGATGAGATGGGAACTCACATGACATTACTTTTATGGTTGCAATATGGCTCTCTTTGCTGTTTGCAGGGAAAACAAACAATTAAGGTTTATTTGTGGGGGGAAAAAAGTCCAGGGAGAGGAACAGACTGCACACAAAAAAAAAAAAAGTGGAAGATTCTTTATAGGAAACAGGATCTCTGTGGAAATATTCAGCCGTGCTGGTACATTCAGGATGGGGTCTGCCCAGAGGGATGGCTCTGCTCTTTTTGGCTACCTTCAGGCTATTTTTGGCCCAGTGAGTCTCAGAAGTATTTCTAGACAAATCTTTAATTTCAAGTCCCAATTTTTAGCATTGCAGCTTTTTGCAGAGGATTTTTTCATATGCTATTTGCTTACCTGTAGTCAGAGGTTTGATCACTCAAAAGCCTTGTTTGCCCAAAACAAACTCATGGTTCCTGATGTATTCAGCAGCCTGAAAATCCCATCAGTTATTTGAAACCATGGTTATCTGAATTAATTCAATGTCTTCTACTCAGCTTGGATAACAAGGGTTTGACTGCATTTCTTTTTCTTTTGTGTGAAGTGTGCTCTCTGGTACTACTTACCCTATTAAAAATATATCTTGCCTTTTAATCAGCACAAGCAAAACAAAGATAAGCCTGCTGAAAAGGGCTTTGAAAAGCAGTTAAAGTAGCAGAGGAATTATGTGCAAGTCTGTAGAGTATATTTATGGTTATAAAAAATTATATAAAAATTTAATAGGTACCCATGAAAAGCATCAGCAGCTGGGCTGAGAGGGTTCTCCATGGAACAGTTCAGCAAGACAGCAGCAGAACAAATGTTTGCCTTTTCAATGCACTCAAAGCCTGTCTTGGAGCACCACTGCCGAGTGGTCAAGCCCACTTAGGGAATAACTTCTCTAACATGACCAGGGAAAGGGATCAGTGACTAGTCTGATCAAATGCCTCAAGTTAAAGGTTTAAGGCTCTTTGTTGTCAAAGGCAGTCAAATCAAGCAAATCAAGCCTGCTTGAGATTAGGATTGCCTATTTAAAATGAGATTTTAAGAAATGGGACCTCTCGCACTGCACTGCAATACATCTGCAAGTCAACAGACTCATCCACTGTAGCTCTGGGGGCCCTAGCATCTAGTAGGACACCTAGTCTGTTCCAACCAGCTGGATGATCCCAGGAGTCCAGAGGAAATTAGAGGACTCTGGGACACGTCAGCTCCTTAGTTAGAAACAGGTCCAGTTTAGACCACCTTAGACATGAAAGCAGAGATATGTACACAACAACATGGGTTTTCATTAACCACATGTCATTTTCAAGGTAAGCACCAAGCTCACACATCACACAGTTTGAGCTGCTCGTGAAACACCACCAGTGATTTTGACACCGTGCGTCACTGTCATCCCATGTGCTGGGTGTGCTGTGCAGGCTCTGTTACTGGAGAGCTAGCTCAACCATTAACTCCTTTGGGCTAGTTGTTATTGCTTTTTATTGTAGATCTGTGCTGGATCTGAAACAGTGCCTTAGCAATGAAAGGCTCCCCAGGAGATATGGGAATATCTCATTAGCAAAATTACTTTTTTCCACGAGTGGTTTTTGTATAAACATAAAGCCCTTCATTTACAATGAGAGCATTTCAGCAGCCGTCTCTTCTTCCTTTTTTAATGTAATTTGCCAAGAACATGTATTCTTTTCTTGTAGTCATATGGAAAGGAGCAAGATCCTTTAGGAGTTAGCTGATGAGTTGTATGTTTCAGGCAGTGATGAGTACAAACACAAATGTAATCTGGGTATGGCTTTTTGTTTCGCTGTTTTCCTGTTGCTTAGCATCTTCATCTTATTCTGCTAAATTAATCCTAACCCAACCATAGCAAGGTCTTACTGGATTGTGGTATCACATGTGGCTCACACCATGGAAAAGAGTGGAGGAGTGGAGGAGAGGTGTTTCATAGGACTTCTACAGAGCAAGTACAACACTCCTTGCTGCCCATCCCAGTTGGCCTAGAGCACATTCAGTCAGAGGCACTGGTCACTCCTCCAGCAGTGTCAGTCATACCTTACCCTCAAATGGGTAATAAGCAATATTTAATGTGGTTTTGTTGTCTTTTTTTTTGCAAGCAAGGAACCAGGAACAGAGACAGAAAGTGAGGAAGGACTCCAGGAAATACAGTTAGGAAAACAGTGGCATATTTATGGCAAAATTTTCAGACTAATAACTTTTGGGTTAAGACTTAAATAACCTCTGCTTGCTTTCACCAGCACCAAAATAAGTTTGGGAGATTGTCGTCAGTCCTTGAAAGAAGAATGCAGCAAGGAGAGTGGCAGGAGAAACAGGCTGTGCAGCATTTTACCCCTCCATGCTGTGGAAATAACATTGGGGAGTTTAACAGAGACTGTAGATCCTGCGCAATTCATGGAAATGATGGCCATAGGACCAGGACCAGCTGGAACAACCCCAGCTGCACAGTCTCAGTGCAACTGGTCAGGCCGGAGCACCAGTAGACCAACGGCCATCCAGGTGATTAGATACTCTGGTAGACCACAGGGTCATGGGTATACCTCTTCTCTCTCAAAGGTGACCATACAGAAATCCCTGTAACTTTGTGTGAATTAGGACCTAAAGACTCACCTTTTTCCAGGAGACATTCTGTTGCTCTTCTTTCACCAAGTTAAACTCGTGTAACTTGATGTCAGTTTCCTATCCCAATGATACAGCAAACACAAAAGCGAGACTTGTTAATACTTTGCCATTGACAGGTTTCCCAGTCTAGAAGAGAGAAGGATGTGCAAATACTCAGGCCAAAGCCTTGGTCTGGCAAAGGAAATGTTATTCAGCAGCAGCTAAATCAGCTGCCAGCCTGCATCCAAGGAGCACTGAACAAGCAGCATGGCCATCTACTCGTGGAAGAGATCTTCCTCATGAGCATCACTGTCTCGGGGACAGAAGCTTACCAAAATCCAGCCTTTATGCCACGTTTTCTGTCATAACCTTGGAACACAAAGTGGGTCACATTAAGAACCTGCAAAAGAGGAAATGAGTTCTGTGGTCAAAAAGGACACAGTTAACACTGTCCACCCAGTGCCAGAGCTGACTCCTAAGTCCTGGTCCAGCACCCTGTCAGAGCTTGTTTTCTCCAAGCTTTTTTACCTACCCCTGGATGCGACAGCAGCATATTTGCATGCCGCTTCCACTCCAGTGAGATTCACCTTCAGGAAAAGGATACCAGCTAATTATGAGCAAGCTCTCTGATGATCACTTCATTTGCAATTCCTCGCAAGCAAGGTTTGGGTATCGTATAATACAAGGCGTAATGCCGGCCACTCCAATAAGACAAATCAAGAGAGATGTGCAAATGGAAAGATGAGCATTTGTCCTTGAGGGAGGATGTTCAGCATACCCAGAAACACAACCATTTTTAAAATTAATTAATCCCCTTAAGGAATTGTGAGTGATGGATTAGAGACCTTAGCTGGGGAAGCAGTCTGTGACACGGTGTGTGTTGGAGGAGGCACTGAAAAGGGACGTGAGTTTTTAGTCTCGTGTGCCTAAGCAAAACCATCCGCCTCGGAGTGGAATATATTTACTGACGGGAGAAGGAGAGGCTCAGGGGAAGCCTCGGAGCTACGCACAAGTGGAGGAGGATCTGTGGCACCTACTGCTGGCCAGCCAGCCAGCTCTGAGAGCAGCGGTGTGAGGAGAGGAGGGGGAAAACTTAACACAGCATCACCAGGGAGGAATATAGCATGCAGTGACATTTTTAAAACATATTCTTGACTCTGAGAAATGTCTAGATAAGCAGGGTAGCAGAGGATATGTAGATTTCTTATGTTAATGGAAAAGAACAGCAGGACATTGCTTCAGATGTGCTTCCTTACTAAATCTGCCTGTTAGTTTTTGAGTCAGAGTCATCTCTATCTTAGTATGCAATGTGTTCCACCAAGTAATGAGATTTCTTTGAGTTTCCACTGTATTAGATTTCTCTACACATCAAATATTTAATAAGAATTAGCATCCAGCCATCCTCCTTCTTCCCCTCCACAATAATATTAACTTCTACTGAGACACCAATGTTTTGCTGTTCACAGTGCAGCTTTGAAGGGTAAGTGAAAAAGCCCTGTATATTTTTCCAAGGGATTTGCCACTGCCCTCTGCAAACACACATTAATTAAGAGAAAGAATGACCAGGAGAAAAAGGCGCAATAAACTGAAGGTGTGAAAAGAGACCTCTCATTAGTCTTTGTGTCAATTACAATATCTGAGGAACAATATCATAGCAATAGCATATTTATTTGATGTGGCACAGATATCTGGGCTCGCTGTTACGGATGGCATTTGCTCTTAATGTTTAAAGTACCTCTTTAACAAAATGGCACTCCATAAAAATTTAGTGTGTTCCTACTGTAATTAAAAAGCCCTAGTCATTTTTGCATTTATGATATAAACTATAATAGCTGTAAAATCCTGCAATTAATTTGCGCCAACATTTCATACTTGAGAAATTCTCATTACAAATTTCATTACTTATTCACTTATCTGTAATTTGTCCTATATAACCTAAAGAATATTAACAAATTTAGAGTCACTTTTGCTCTATTAAAAGCTAAATAGAAAAGCCTTTCACCTCGCAAGCCAATCGTGATAACGTCCCTGAGCCTGCTCCAAAATGGTGGTGCGCTACATCCAGGCTGTACGAAAAGAGATATTCTTTATGAAGCACAAGCCATAAACGACACGCAAAGCCCTCTGGAAACTGCCTGGTGTATCCTGAGCTCATCCACTGCACCCTCATTAGTTTAAAAGCATTACAAGGCTTGAGTGTCTCACAGCATGGCTGTGAGTATGACACACAGCTATCTAAA